AAAATCAAATTAAACAATTTTTATAAAAAAAAATAGATCACTTTGAACATCTGAAAAAAAAATGATCATTTTGAATAAACTTAACTAAAAAAGAAACCAAAATAGATATTATATACAATAAAGAATTATTGCGATGTCACGGAGATGACATGTTTAAGTTAGACTTACTGAAGTAATTATAAAGAAAGTCAATCAATAAGTAATAAGTCATGATAATAATATTGCATACCATTTATTCATTTGAGCATTAGAGTCTTCTCATACCTCAAGTCAAACATAGAAGTAAGAAGAGAACATCCCGAACCAAGAGATCTCGATTACATACAAGAACTATATATATATTATATATAATGAAAAGATTAGAAAATATAAACTAAAATTGTTGAAAAGATGATAAGCAATACGTTGTATTGAGAGTCTATGCATCTCTTATGGTGAACTAATTATAGTAAAAATTACAATACATTTCCATTGTAGAGATTTTTATTTTACTTAAATTTTAGAATTAGGAGGAAAATGAATTTCAATATGGATAATTTTTTTCTTCAATGGAGATGGTTTCATTTTCTATTGAATGATTTTTTTCATAATTTTGAAAATGTTAAAAGAATTAAATTGAGTTTGACGAAAAAAAGTTATATTATTAATATATTGAATTTATGTAACTGTATTTATGGGGGGGGGGGGGGAATTCTTCAAATAATAAGCCAGAGCATTTGTGAAATTTTAAGGAAATTTAAAGCAGACTTGGGAATTTAAATAACATAATAAACACTAAGAATGAATTTTTGGTGGTGGAAAGATATTTGTAAGGTTTCTGCGGATCATATATGCAAGATAATTGGTTTGAGAGAAGTCTCTATTGAAACAGGTGACAAACACTACTACAAATTAGGTATTAGATAATAGTTAAAATAAGTCTATCGACGGGTTTAGACTCGTCATAAATTTAGTTGTCATTAATTAGAAAAATCAACAACGATTTTAGAACTATCACTAAGAAAAACAGCTATGATTATATTACAACCGTTATTAAAAATGGATAAAAACAAAAGGAAAAAAAAAATAGAATTGTGATACAACTATAATTAATATGTCAACATCATTAAAATGTCAATAAACAATGACGGTTTAGTATCATAACTGTACCAATAAGTCGTTTTGTTTTTAGGTTTAATACATCATTTAGTCCCAATTTGTAGGGGTTTGGTTCAAAGTGATTCTACCTTTTAAAAAAGTTCAGTAAGATCTCATATTTCGTTAAAATATGTTCAATTCGATCATTTTTGCTCACACCGTTAAAAACATAACGGTGCAAATGCTACTATGGCCAAATCTGAGTGAGTTGTGTAGTTTCATGAATAGGTGGCTAAAAGAATTAAATGCAGAGAGAGAAACATAAATGATTGTTTGAATAATTAAATGTAGAGAGAGAAACGTAAATGGCTTTATCACCCAATATATTATTATTCCATCCTATATCACCCAACAATGCACCAATTTTATACACCCACCTCCAGATCCCATCCTATATGCACTCTGTAGAACAATAAATATATGTTCTCATGGTATCAACTCGTAGTATAATATCTGAGAAATATATACTCTTTGTATTTTTTCTAGATTACTTTCCAGAACACACAAATACATAGACAATACTTTAAACTCTCAAACTTACACAACATACAACTCACAAAGTACAACCCATTTTCTCTCTTTCTCTCACGATGATACACAACTCACAAACAAACACATGACTCAATAATACATGCAACAACTCCACTCTTTCTCTGGTTTCTCACGGTGGTGAACCTTTTTCTCTTTCTCACACAAATATTTAAATTTTACCCAACACACTCATACCATCATGTGATGACAATACATTACTCCACATTTATACTACTTCCATACATTTAATACCCATCAAACATTCCATGCAATTACAAATAATAATTTATTATACCCATAAACCCATGTTGGTATCTCTATTGAGAACACAACCCATCACCAATGCACTCTATTGTCATATTTCACTCATACAACATGTTAACACTTCCTACTCTTATTTACATTCTTAACCTATCCAACCTACGGCTACCCTCCAAAGATTCACGATATGCACTTTTCTCTTACTACAAAACCACATGCATTGTAATCCTTCAACCCGTGCATTCATATTCTGGGAATAACATCCCAAACCATTTTTTTTCCTTAGAAACCCACAACCTTCCAATTGGGTATATTATCTATCCACATAGTTTCTCAAGATTAACAAGTTTCAAAAGAAACACATCATGCTCAATCAACACATCAAAAAGTTAACTCCCCTTACTTGGGTTTTCCAGTGAATTCTTTAAAGACCTCTTGGTTCTTAGAAAATCCTGTGACTGCAACAAGGGCCCCTGCACAACTCCTTGGTACTCATAATCTTCTCCTTATTACTCATTACGCTCATGGTGGAGGACAAAAAATGGTGGTTTCTCTCTTGCGCACTCTCTCGAGTTGTTCTAGAATGTAACTTAGGATTGCTTCTTATTTCGCACACAAGCAGCCAAAGGCCGCACATTCTTCCTCCCCCGCTACCGTCGTCGTTGAGGATACCCAACTAGTGGCTCCCCCATACTCCCGGGTCTCGCCGGATTCCCTCCAGTACCCACCGGATTCTCATTTAAGATTCGTGGAGCTTATAATATGATGGAAAAACTTCCCAGGAAGTTGTTGGAAACGGGAGTTATCTGCTCTGCGGTGATTGTTATGTGAAGGGGGTTAATCCAAAGGTGAGGATTATTGAGGTGGATCCCTCTGATGCAAATGCAATGGCGTTGTCATTCCATCATGATCAGAGAGTGATTTTGGACCAGGTTGGACGATTTGCAAATGGTGTAGCTGTTGAGATTTGCACCTAACATATCATTTTAATTTTTTTTAAATATTTACACAGTGCAACCTCTTCAAACGTGTCACGTATTCATAATGCCACATTGCACCGTTATGTTTTTAACGGCGTGAGCGAAAAAGACTGGATTGAACATTTTTTAACGAAATATGGGGCCTTACTGAACTTTTTTAAAAGGTAGAATCACTTTGAACCAAACCCCTAAAAGTTGGAATCAAAGTATTAAACCTTGTTTCTATAATGATGATTGATTTATGATAAAGCCACACTTTTCTACAAATTTTCATATACAAATTCATTTTACAGCTACATAATAATTCAATAATTCAACAGTGCATAGTAGTAATGTCCCAAACAAAGTTTAATAAAAATATAACAGTTTTATTAATTAATTGTCTACTATCATTAAAGTGTTACATACTTAACAAAATGTTTAGCTTGTGTATTTTGGACACAAGCTAATTCATTTGATTCCAATAGTTGTATCTCATTAAAAGTATGTAGCAAATCAATTAAAGTTAGATAAGTCCATGCATGTAATAAATTAGTTTATAATATTAGTGGATTATAGCATATATCCGATTTCAACCTCTTTTAATACCAGCTTGCACAATTGTTACCATCAATAAATGGACATAGGAAGGATGAAGGTGGGGAAGATGCAAAGACATTTAACATGTCATGGAAACTAAAAGTAACTCCATCACAACATTTTTGCTTGGAAAGTGATGCAAAAACAGGATAGCTTCAAAAGATATTTTGTATCATAAAGGGATAGATGTAGAAAGTAGGAGATGTATTATGTGTCAAATAAGTGAAGAAACACTAGCCCATATATTCTTCAACTATAGAGTAACAAAAGCAAAGTGTGAGATATATGTAGTAAGTAAGTTGGAATTAGCATTGTACAACATTGCCTATCCATACAACACTTCAAGCATTTTAGATTACAACAAAACCTTGTAAGCCACCCCAAATTGGTCTAGAGAGCAAGTGGTGACTCTCGTACTGCCTGTAGAAGCCATAAGTTGAAGGTCATGTTTGTAGGATACTGAAGTGAGGCAATAGGTGCAAAGGTGCTTAGGTTGAAACTGAATGGATCTTTGTTTGTACATGAAAACATGAGTAAGACTACAAAGAGAACATATTTTTCCATTTTGTTTTAAATGTGCTAAATAATCTCCGTATTTGTATTTTTAATTTTTTTTTCTTTTGTTTGCAAATGAATTAAAGCATTCCAAGTACTTCTTTTATTCAATTAATTCTTTATTACAGATAGAAAAAAGAAATTTTTTACTGTACACTTTTATTTTTATTCTCATATACTTATTTAAATTTTCAAAATAAATACATGATTTTAAATATAAAGAAATATAATTGTAAAGAAGAACCATTATTGGGTGAGTGAAATATAAAAGAAAATGTACTGCGGTATAAAGAAAAAATATACTCCCCTGAATCAATAAGTTAGAATCTAAACGTTGAGAATGTATTATAAATACGATTCCAAAATAAAAACAAAGAGAGAATATATTTTTATGTACAAAATGCAAGACAAATGATACAACTCAAAGCTTAAAGATAACAAATATATGAGTGACATAGGACGTAGAAAGCTAAAGGACAATAAAAAATAATTCATAGTAGTATTTAGTTTGTTGTAATTAATTAATTGCAATTGATGATGTTTTGGATTTGTAAAATATAGATATGAAAGAAACAGAAGACATATAATTGTTTAATGTAGAAACTGGTTAAGGAGAAAGTGTAACATTTAGGTAGGCTAATGTTCTTTATTTATTACGTTTTTATGCATCTTTTACTTTATATCAAGATAGTTTATTAACTCAAACCGGATATAAGATTGGATTAAGCCAGAAATATTACAGCTTGATAAAAAAAAAGAAACAGGTTACATCTTTGGGTGAATACTGCTCCTATTTTCAGGTGTTTGTCTAAGTAAATAGTTTCCACTACCAGATTTTCATAGCTCAAAAGTGAAACTCAAGTATACCATAGTTCAAGGCAATAACTGAATGAGAAATAAGAAATATATTTCACATTTACGCATATGAATCTGCTGTATGAAACAAAAATAAGCATGTAAAGCAACAAATTTGGAAATCCTTTAGACTATTAGTTTTAGTCCACGATAGAAACTTACAGTACAATATCATTTAGAAATTGTCCGAGTTTGGGAGATGTACAACATTCCGCAAACTAGCTATTTTGGTCTCTCCCACTTCACTGCATTTTTTTCTCATTTATGTTATATTTCCTTTTGCAAGACTAATTAATTAAGTAATAAAAGAGATCACATTTCAGCAACCAAATTTTCCTTTTGAGCTCGAGATTCAGAAAGGCTTCCATTAGTCCACTTCTTCAGCATCTCTAATGCAGCCTTGGGCTGGTCCATTGGAACCATGTGACCCGCATCATGGACCTGTTTTGGTCACAGAAGATTTTGAACTGAATAAACATTTTCACTGATCACGTGCAGAGTCAAAAAGGAATTTGATAAATAAATGGTGTATTTAACTTGTTAAGTTTGGTGTTAGCACTGCACAAGCACGAATTTAAATTTGAACATAGCAGTTCGATTAACCCGCACAAAATGGTTATTCATTAGTGTAAATCAATCGCCCTTAATTTCAACATGTCCGAATAATTAACATTGAAAGCACTAGTTAACTTTTCAACCTTTATCACCTTTAATTTGTGTATAAAGTTAAAATTGGGGTAAATAGCACACAGCTAGTATCGTATATCTTAAAAGTTTTGGGGTATCTCACACACAAGACAATGTTAAAGAAGGTAATCTATACTTTCCTGCTTATGTAGAGTATGGCCTATTCAAGATGGTATTGATAGTTTTTGTTTGATATATTATCTTTATCTTTTATCTTTAGTTAGTTTGTTATTATTTTTTATTTATATTTTGAGCTTAACTCATTTCTTCTATTATAAATAAATGACCCTATGTGTATATTTAACACAAGGAGATTAATCTATACATAGTTTTCACTATATTCAACATGGTATCTAAAGCTTAAAGTTCTTTTGAAGAAACTTTTTTTTTTTGCCTTTGTCACTACAACAATGCCATCTCCCGCTATCGACAACACCGTTGTCTACTATCATCATCTACCGCCATTGTCTACCACTATCACTATTGGAGATCCAGTTTCGACCGATGATCACACAGTTTTTATCGTCTCAGTCAGGTGACCACCTTGCTGTCACTAACGCCTTCATTGGAGCTCTTACGCACTCTCAGCGCCTTTTGAAGTTGTGGATATGTTCCTTTTCCATCGTGCGTGTGGCATGTCTCGTCTCCTCTTAGGCAGCGATTTAGAGCATCGAAGTCACTCTTTTTCCTCTTTCAAGTTCATAATGCATGGTCACACATTCCATCTCCTCTCAGGCAAAGCTATTAAGAGCATCAAGGTCGTTCTTTTTCCTTTTTCAGGTGCCTTGATTAGAAAATCTCGAACTTTTAAGGTTTCTCTCTCCTGTCCATCCATGGCTTCTTCCGCTGCCGTCTTTTCTGACTTCCCTTAGTCACCATTGTATTTGACCTGTCTATATATGTTTTTTCTTCCATGGTAAAGATGATTTTTGTTAGTTTATTTATAGTCGTGGTGGTTCTTCAACAATGACATCTTTATCCACCAGATGTCAACAATACATTCCTCAATGGTGATTTCAAGAAGAGATTTACATGAAGCAACCTCTTAGATTTGTTGTTCTAGGGAGTCTTTTGTGTTGATATTTCGTTTTCTAAGTCATTTTCGCAAACCATTAACAATTTGGTGTCACTTGAGTACAAAAGCAAATATTTTCACTAAATCTTTATAGATTATATTAGTAACAAGCTTGATACATATGATTCATATGCACTAACTTAAGGAGATTGTTAGTTATATTATCTTTATCTTTTTTTTTAGCTAGTTTGTTATTATTTTTTATTTGTATTTTAGGCTTAGTCTATATTTCTTCTATTATAAATAGAGGACCTTATATATATATATATATATATATATATATATATATATATATATTCAACACAAAGAAGATTAATTCATATATATTTTTCACCATATTCGAAAGTTTCATAGTGCAAGTGTTAATAAGTTTATGTGGGTAAGAAAGAAAAGAATACCTTAAGGAAACTCAGAGGTCCATAACTCTTCAATAATCCGGCTTCTGACCCATCAACAACGAAAGGAACTTCAAGTGAGCTTGTAAATTCATTCTTACCAGACCATTCCAGGGCGTGAACCCATCTTGAATTACCTACTCATTGCCAAGAAAAGGACCATTAATTCATTCATTGCAAGGTATAATAAATATGAATATTTAATTTCTCAATAGATCTTAAAATTCATTACAAGGTGTCCATCACTCAATTCGAAGTCCATCTTTTCTTTATCTTGACAAGAGTAAATACGTACCAAGCCAGTTGCAGATTAGATCATATTCCCCGGCATAAATAAGTAAATTGATTCCATCCTCAAGAAGGGCAGGAATACCAACTTCAAGATTCCTCATCCAGTCCACCAACATGGCCATATAAACTTCAGTGCTACACGAAACAAAATGAATTTTCCCAACCCCCAGTGAGTCCCGAACAGATTTTTGGTTCAGGAACTTCTCCATGTTTGAAAAATCATAGCAAAGGCTCCCCTCACACTTTTTTCTGATGTCATAGTACTGCAGCGTAAGTATATTTAGTTGCCGGTGACAGTAATGAATATACTGACACATTGCTTCAAGATCCAAATGACCATAAATATAAGGATGAGTTTCTTTCTGATATGTTAGTAGCATAAATGACTTTTTTTTAACATATTTCATGAAATTCCACAACTAAGAAACAATTAAGGTGTTTATACAAAAGATCTTTTGCTTGGAAAATGGTTAATTATCTGCTTGCCTACTTGTAGAGAGGGGAATAAATCAATTTAACTAAACGTGACAAAGTCAGCTGTCAACCAACACCAGAAAAGTTTCTTTACTCACATTTGTGTCTCCGGCATGCAACATGATGTCACTGAATATGAGATTGCAAGCTACGTATGCAGCCACGCAGGAAGTTTTTCCGTTAGTGCCTGAAAGGATAAAACAAATATTATAGAGTTAACAGGCAAACCAGAAGGCTCCAAAGAAGTGAAAGCACTGTTTTTCAGTGAAAATCAGGCAGTGATCTTGACTTTTACTTCCTGTGAGAATGATTACTTGATCAGAACAATAGCTACCTTACATGATCGCTAGAAATAACTGTTAGAAGTGGACTTGAGGCCTAACTCATCCCCACAAAACCGGCTTGTAAGGTGAGGTCTGCACCCACTTATATACTTTAATTTGGCCTTATCTCTAGTCGATGTGGGACTTCCAACACACCCCCCTCACGCCGAGGTATATACATCTCGAGCGTGAGATTAGACATTAATGGGTGGTCCAATAGCGGCCCGATAATGGGTGGAACAATATGCCCAACAAACAACCAATAATGCTAGGATAGGCTCTAACCATAGCTCTGATACCATGTTAGAAAGTGGGTTTTAAGTCTAACTCAACCCCACAAAACCGGCTTTTAGGGTGAGGTTTGCACCTCACTTATATATTATAAATTGGCCTTATCTCTAGTCGATGTGGGACTTCCAACACACCCCCTTCACGCCGAGGTATAGACATCTCGTGCGTGATAGTAGAAATTGGGTGGTCCAATAGCGGCCCGATTGCGGGTGGAATAGAAGAATAGAATGCCCACTTAGAACTCGCTAGGATAGGCACTAACCATGGCTCTGATATCATATTAGAAAGTGGGTTTTCTGTTGAATATAGTGAAAAACTATATATTAGATTGATCTCCCTTGTGTTAAATACACATAGGGTTCTCTATTTATAATACAAGAAATATGGGCTAAGCCCAAAATACAAATGAGAAATAATAACAAACTAACTAAAAGATAAAAGATATAATATATCTAACACTCCCCCTCAAGCTGGAGCATACAACTTGTATGAACTAAGCTTGGAATAGATGAACTCAGTGTTGAACTAGATGATTTGTCTTCAAGAGTGTGAGGCAAACATAGATGGACTAACAGCAGCTTGTGAAACTTCAACTTCAAAAGTGGATGAAGGAGAGCCGTGTGGACAATGATAAATTGCAAGGACTGATTCCCAATCAATGATGGAAGAGTGACGGGATCAACAGTGGTAGCTGAAAGCTAAAAGCTACAAAACTGCAGGGACTACACTAAATCCTCATCAATGATGGATGGGTGACGGGATCAACAGTAGTAGCTGAAATCTACAAAACTGCAGGGACTACACCCACATATATGTGACTTGCAGTGTCTTGGAAACATACTCCCCCTCAGTGTGAACGGCGGAAATGTGGAATATCACAGTTGCTGGACCACTAAAACAAAACAAAATATTAAGCTACAATGCTGAAACAAAGACATCAAAGATCCAAAGATACGTTGGAGGTCCAAAATTCTTTGCTGGACAACTCCCAAGTG